TCTGGTCTGGTCTGGTCTGGTCTGGTCTGGTCTGGTCTGGTCTGGTCCTGTCTGTCTGTATGTATGTATGTATGTGTGTATAATTTATTTATCTATTTAGTTATCCATTTGTATATGTATGATGGTTTTCACCGTTTTTCACCAAAACCCTATAGTACTCACTCAAGAAAGTCCAGGAATGTTGTTTGCAACTTCGGGGTGCAAAGAATGAAAGCAGTCCATGACTTTGTTCTGATAGCCAGGTCTCGAACTCTGGACTAGCTCCCCAATCAGCCACCACTGCCACTGCCTAAACCTCTGGATACCCATCATCTAGTGCAGCTGACCACGCAGCAGAAAAGGAAGCCCCGGGCTGAACCCCTGTGAGGTGTTGACTGGACTGAAGTGTCTTCGGAAGAACATTCCAAGGGCGGGCCCCCTGCACCGCTGCGCGCTTGAGTAGATGGCACACAAGGAGCCCCCAAGTTTGGTTGAGATGGAGCCACCTTCCTTGTTCCTAGTAGCGATGCCAGGTGCCAACGTGACGAACATGGCTCCGTCCTTGCTCCGTTCGGAGCGAAGCTCTACAAAAACATCGATAAGGGTGCGTTCCATGCCATCGATACCGTTATGGCACAATTGAATATACCAAATAAAAGGCCATGCCATATTGATATGGCTGTGGGTCTCTGAAACACCAGCCATAGAACCTTGGCTTTTGCCTCTGAACCTCGGAAAGTGCGGCACAAACGAAGAGACTGGTCGTGCTGAGCAGTGCTGTTGTCGTCTGTCCTTGTGCTGTTGGGCTCGATTCACAATCGGCTTTGGTCGACTTGTGTCTGACTCGACGACCTGCACCATCCTGTCTGGGTGTCCGGACTACCAGAAAACTATACTTATATAGGTCTCCAGACAGGACACCCAAACAGGATGGTCGTAGTTATGACCGTTTTATAGCCACTAAACACATGATTATCAAGGTCTTCTGTCAGAGTTCTCTTTTCGATTTCTCGCACAAATGGATCCAGACCGATAGTTTCGTATCCTTCCCCGCATCGAATCCTTCCGCCTTGATATTCTCCAGGGAAATTCCATAGCTCGTCAGCGTGCTCAGCTGCTCCTCCGTCCAGACCGAGTCGATGAGCTCAATCTGCGAGTCATTGGGGAAGCAATACTTGTCGCAATACCTGCAGCCATCACGGCCTTCGTCCCTTCCGGTCCCTTCGTCCCGCCGGTGGCGGCCCGCCGCTCTGCCCTTCGGCCGAGTCCGGCCGACCCGCGTCGTGCGGCCGCGTGCGGCCGGCCGTTCGTCCCCTCTGGGTGGTCCGAAACACCGGACTTCGACGCCACAAGGAACAGAGTCGCTTCGTGGTGGGCTCCTGTGGGCTCCCGTGCAGGATGGGCTTTGGGGGCCCAGCCAGAAGTGTGTGGACTGGTCATTCTTGAACATGTGGATATGGGCATCGATCAAGGTCACACCCTGTGCCAAGGTCGTGTTATGTCATCAGCGACCTCTTGCCATCTTGATCGACATGTGTTCTGCAAGCAGAAACATCCTTCCCAATCTCCCAATCTTCAAGAAGTCACATGAATCAAGTCACCAAGCGACCCCATGTCCCATTTAAAGAAAGAAGCAGCGACTTGTTGATGAAGGACATGGGACATGGGTTTTGTCGATGAAACAGCTGAAAGTCACTGGAAGTCCCCTGGGTGTTCATTGGATTCACGTGGCCAACAAGCATATCCCACTAGAAAAGAAAAGAAACACCAACTATATCCAAACTATATTTATAATATAAATTAATACAATATCCAGCTGCATCATCCTGACTGGACTTCCAGACAGGACACCCAGGTCCAGGATGACCCTTCTAGGTCCAAACAGCATGACCCTGGCAGGTGGAATTCCTCCATCTCTCTCAGGATTCTCCGAGGCTTTTCCGCTTCAACACTCTTTGCATCGGTCGATGGCTCGGCCGCGCGTTCGGGCCGGGCGCACCACGCGGCGCGTTCGACGCAGAACCCGACGGTGGCTGAGGCGGGCGCGTTCGACGGTGTGAGGCTTGGAGGTGGGAAACCGAGGCAACGGCTGGGTGTCTTTCCCGCGATTGAGTGAACCGAATGGATCACCCAGGAAGGTCAACGACCAAACAGGATGACCGGAACGCTTCCTTGCGCATCCCACGGATCTGAGACCAGGGTGAGGGCTCCGGGTTTGGACCCACAGCCATTTGGTCCGGTGGACTAAGCACCTTCACCTAGCTTACAAACTGCCTAGTGACCTAGTGCTGCAATGGAAACACATCCCTGCTTCATCTCCAAATATCCCTTCGGCAATCATGCCAAAACATGCCAAAAACGATCGCTGAAGAATAGCTTTTCCAGTCATGGCTTTACTCTTCAACTGCTCAACTGGGGATTTTAAAAAAAAAAAACACCCCAGTCATGGTGATCTCTGGGCACCGGCATGGACTTGTCGCCCGGAAACACCGATCGAACGGTTGGGGTGTGTCGGTGTTACTTCATACTCAACTCGACACCGGTGAACTCACCAGCTGGAACGACTTCCAGGTTCTCCGAGTGACCGAATAGCCATGGCCTCCAACCTCAAAAACGCGATGGCCTCCAACCTGAACAGTGTACAACCTACTAGCCACACGGCCCCCCAGCCTAAGAGCGATGGCCTCGTGTCCCGAGGCAAACCACATCCTCCGAGTTGCAATGGGATGATGGGCACCTTATTCTTGTGAGCGCTCACGATCTCCCCGGCGCACCACATGCCTTGGACTGCGGACGACCCACCTGCTGCTAAACCCGCACGGCTCCACGATGCTCCACGCCTCCTCCGCTCGGCTCCCTGCGAAAAAAGCAGCAGTTCCATGCAGATGGGTGCCAAAAGAACTGAAGAGATGTGGGGTGCCCCTTGTCACATCTAAGGGCATAGTGGATGGGACTCAAAGCTTTGGACCTGGATGGTACATCTTTTGCCTTCATGATGAAAAATGATGAGAATGATGAAGATATTGATGAAGAATTAATTAACCTGGTGCAGCACTCGTTTGTTTGGCACGAACACCATCCAAAAGAGATTCTGAACATGGTGTTTCTCCATGATATATCATATCTCTATGAAAGCCAGGTCCCCGTGTAGTAAGGACTTCCCCCCGGAAGCAAAGTGTCATAGAAGCTGAGGACGTGCTGCATTGCTACTGGAATACTGCTTACCTCTCTAACTGCTCCTTCTCGCCAGCAGTCCACCGTCCCACCCCCCGGCACCAACGGCTCACCGTCCCGGCCGCTCCGCGCGCGTGGAGCTCAAGCGACGCTTCAGCAGCTCGGACGTCAACACGGCCACCAGGCACTTGGTGTCAGCGCTGACGATGTCGAAGATCCGGGCCAGGTCGTCCAGCTCGTCGCTGTCCAGGAACAAATTCAACTTCATATACCTTCGAGTGCAAAAGCAGCTGGATCACTGTGGATTGAGGTTTTTGTGGGTCATGAAATCTTCTCATGATCATGTGCCTATCATGCAGTCCTGTCTTACATTAAGAAAAACATGATAAATATTGATAAACATCGGGGGATCACAGTGGGCGCAAGCTTGTCAGGGTGACCATGGGCTTTTGTATGTCAGTTCGACAAAATCTCAAAACATTCCATGATATCGAGCCACCACATACCCAAGACGGAAGTGAAGCCCTTGGACAGAAGAAAACCAAAGGAACCATCCGATCAACGTCACTGCGGCCGCAGTTCTTCCGTCCGGCAAAGTAAAAGAAGAGTAAGCGCTGCTTTCAAATATCCCCAGACACGACTAATGGGACTGTTTTTGTTGCCTGCCAGTACCTACATTGGGGTGGTTTGGGGCCATCAATGAGGCATAAGCAAACTAATTGGTCCCATTGCATGGAGTGTCTGGGAACCTATACTTGACTCCTCAGCAGTGAGGACCACAAATGGTGGCCGTTTTCGCAGCCGTGTTGAGCAGCAAGAGACTTCGAGGCCACCAACTTGAAGAGGCGGCAAAAAGCCCCTGCACCCGCCTGGAGGTCTCTGGAAGAACGACTCGGACCTTCCTGAAGCCTTTTGGTCCGAATTTTTGAGGTCCTGAAGCCTGGAAAAAGCTAATTTCTTGAGGGGTCCAAGGACTCGGAAACTAGGAAGCTGCTTAGGAAGGACCTCTGGGCGGCCCAGAAGCTCTCGATGTTTCAGTTTTTTTTCTCCCCATGTTGCAAAAACCATTCATTCACTTCCAGGTGTTCTGCACCAAAACCATCACCGAGTTTCTCTTCTTGGGCCGGTAAGTTACGGTAAGAACAGCCTCAACTTGAGCTGCTCCAGGAGTGCGGACCGAAACGGTGATCGTCGCGTCGCGATCGGAGGCCGAAAAAAGGAGGCCGAAAAGGTCAGGAGTGTCACTTCAAGAACTCCTCCTGAGCACAAAAAATATCGCCCATGTTCAATCAGTTCATGGAAAGATCAACACAAGTGCTTCAAGTGAAAGTCAATTCAATCAGTTCTTGGAATCATTTCTTCACTTCATCCATTTCCAACTGTGGATTCAGCTCTCCATGACTCACCATCCATGACTCACCCCCCCTCCTAGCCCTTTACTAACCGCCTTGTGGTGACAAAGGAAGGCGGCGTACTTGCTCTGGGGCCGCAAGCGCAAAAACACTAAGGACCTCAACGTCCGCTCGGTTCCGAAGGATCCATGTATTGGACACCCCGATACAAGCTTCTGTTTGGCAAGGTGCTTTGTTTTGGGGGCACATCAATCATTCGAAAAAGATCGTTTTGAATCATTCTCCGTTCAAAAACCCTTGAAAACACACCACACACATGGAAACAAAAAGAGTCTTGAACATGTCTAAGTTGTGGCAATCACACACATGGAACAGGTTGCAACTGCGCCAGTCGACCGGACTGTCCACTGGCTATTTGGAACTATATACCTGTCTTTGTCTTCAACGCGTTGGAGTTTCACGTCTTTTCCAAACAGTTTGAACCAAGAAAACACCCCTCGATGAGAAAATAGATAAACATCGGTTTGACAACCCGGCCAAACAAGTACTATCTGCTCTATGTTGTTTTAGGAATTTAGGTCTTCATCTGTGTTGAGTGGGTTGGGACATGTTGTAAATGGGAAGATTACAGTAGCAGCTTATTGAGTTGATTGGCGGGGTTCATGTATGGCATGTATGCCTGCTTGGGGTGGTTGAGTCAGAGTCAATGTATATGATATATCAGTCGTGTGTATATATATATATATAGAGATATATGTGCATGGATATCCATTCCACACATGTCTGGTTACACACCCTTCAGTCAACCAAAAGAACAAACCAACGGCTTTCTTCACTTCCTAGGGACAAGGCCGTGCCCAGGGCAGCCAGGGGCACCGTGATCAACACGATGGAGAGCAAGACGCCCACGAACTGCTCATGACTCAGCCGACCGCGCGCGCAGTTCGTGGGAGTGAGGTTCCGGGCCGTGGCGAATCAAAGAACCCGCAAGAGAGGTTGTTTGCCTGGTATATATATATATATACCAGGACCCTCCGACAGGTCACCAAGTGAAACCTGTTAGGGTCCAACAACCCTCAAGTAACAGCCTGTTGGAGGGTGCTGGCATATAATATATGACCCTTCACCTGGGGTACCCATGGGATAGTCTATAGCTTAGTTCTCTATCTGAAAACTTCTGCTGGCCCGTTTTCGCAGTTCCTCGGCTGGAAAGCCGGGAAGAACACTTCGGGGGAAGCAGGTAACCGGCATTTGGAAGGCTTCTGGGTTTGTACGGTCTTGCCCCAGCTTAGGGTGTCGTTGAAGAGGACAAAAAGACGTGTATATTGGAAAATGGAGAAACCCGATTCACCATTTTCTTGTCTTAATGCAATGGCCTGACTCACGAACAGCCATTGCTGTGTCCACACGCCAGCACCAGAATTCAATTTGCACACAAACAAAAAGCAGGAACACCAATCAGAATGATACCGACCATGACAACTGCAGCTTCAAGAACAAAAATCACTTTACATTCTTGACCATGTTTGACCATGCGACCGTGGCTGCGAAGGGACCGTAGGACGGAACGATAAGACGATCAGCACGTCTTTCTGCCACCTGGTGGCTTCTCCTCCCGGATATTCATCAGCGGTGAGGCCAACAAGAGGAGCATGAGAAGACCCGCGGATAAGGACAAGTCCTGATCCGTTCGGCGAGCCAGTGGAGCGTCGGACGTGGGTCGGGGGAGCATGTTCTGCAGCCTAAGCGTGAGATGGGACTGGCGATACTACTGGAGAACATGGTTCCAGTCCCATGGAGTGTCTGGATGTGTCTGGGACCACGCCTCAGGTAGTTGGAGGTGTAGGGATTTGCACCATCATGAAGGAGCATTGATGGCGAACGTCGAAGGGACCTTTGGCACATACCAGAAATAGCAAAACTCCTCCAATTCGACTTAAAACATAGAGGTGCTCTCATCCTTCTCATCGCACTCCTGTGACCCTTCACCAAAAAGCAGCTCTACCCACTTGTACCCCCCAAGCCAATTCCGCATGATTTCGTTGATTTGAGGAACCCCGGTCGTCTCAGCAGACCCTTCACCAAAAAGCAGCTCCTTGTTGTACCCCCGGTCGCTAATTCCGTATGAAAAAAACCAGGTGTTCCTTGAGGAACCCTCAAGTCGACCCTGAGTCCCCAGTCGTCTCAGCTTCAGCTGAGAGTCATTGTAATTGGCTAAGTCGATCTTCCAAGGCCACAGGAGCCCCTGCACCACCTCGGTGGCTGTCACACACTCGAGTCCGGTCAAGCCGCTTCGGCGAAGCCCGGCGGTCAAACCGGAGAAGTGCAGCAAAACCAAAAGGCTAAGAGGACCTGGTCTTTTCAGGTGAAGGACCTGATCTGTGCGTTTGCAAACACCTGTTGACTGTACCCAACTAGAGACACCAGGCTTGATCTCAGTGCCAAATGGCTCCTCAAACAGGGGTCATGCCTGGGGCTCGAGGCATCTGAACGAGCTGAGAGATTGAGAGCCAAGGACATCATCAGGCCCTACTCAACAGGCAGTTTGGGATCCGGTGTGAAAAGTCCTCTTCCAAACAGAAGGATGCAACAGAACACCGAGAACACCGACAAACCAACAACATCAAAGAACTAAAGAATCCTATAATGATGTAGATCGGTTATAACATGGTAATAAATATGTCATGGAATAATTACTTTGCTCCACTTCCAATCCAACGTCCAACCCTCCCCCAGGCGCTGCGTCTTCGCCCCCAAGTCACCCCCCAAAACCGCTCTCTACCTTCCAAACACTCCTTGGAAGTTCTGCCGACCCCAACTTCCACCACCCCAACAGGAACAGTTCCTCCTAAGCAACCACCAGGAGCATGCCGTCGCGTCCCCGTCGAAAAAACGCCCCATGCCGGAACGTCGCACGTTCCAAGTGACGAGCTTCGCACAAATCACCAGGCCCATGATGCCGACCTCAGATGTCGAAGGCGGCGAGGCGTTCAGCGATGGGTCAATGTAGCAAGAAGGCACCCGACCGTTCAGCGTTGATGTATTTATTACATAGAAGCCCTAGTTCGACTATCGAAAGACCATTTGAAGAATAGTCCCGGACTCCCAGGGTATAATACCTGGATCCTCCTTTGGGCGGAAAAAAGTGCCGGACCTCAATCCGGCAAAATTTTCCGCCGGATTCCGAAAAAACGCCGGAGACCTGAAAAAACATCCGGATCCGAGATTCTGAAAAACAGAGATGATAAAAGGTTGGATCATACACAAGGAAATTGCCTTTGCGCCGCGAGCAGTTCTTCTGGAGCCACACTCGAACCTTTCCGTTCCCATTGCCCTCGCCCATCTTCCGAATGGCCTAAGAGCAGAACCATACAAAACATAAGCAACTTGTGCCCAAGCAAAGACTTCCAAGAAGAAACCAAGGAGCATGTGGCAATGAACTCATCTTTCTCTGCAACCGTGTCTCTAAAGTGTTTTTTTTTACAAAGTGGGTTGCTCTCCATGATTCTTATGCTTCTTAATGTTTCTTTAAAGCTTGCCTCAGGACGGCCCCCCAAATAAAGTAGCAGAACTCGTGGCCCCTGTCAAAACTCTTCTTTGAAAAACTTGTCAAAGTCAAAGCCAAAGCCTGCAGAAGACTCAGTCCAAAAAAATACGTCGGAGTTACGGGAAATTACGCCGGAGTTACGGGAAATTACGCCGGAATTACGGGAAATTACGCCGGAGTTACGACGTGCCATTTTTTGACAACTCTCTGCAAAACATTGAGATTCTGAACAACACATGTTCCACAGCCCAAAACTTGTCCGGCAGGCTCTGCAAACTTGCGCAGCTAGAACTATATCCCAGCGCCCCGACATCCTGAAACAATGGGAGTACATTTTTGCCCAGCTTGGTACGCCCACTTGGGTCTTTCAACAGGTGCATCGCACTGTACCGGCTTCATCCGATTTCATTTAGAAGATCACCTAAACGGATCTATTTGATCCAGTGTGAACCATGCTGAACCGATGGAATGAGAAAACAGCGCAACAGGCAAACGAGCACACTTTGCAAACAAAATCATTGCATCAGTAGTGGGTTTACCTTCAAAGAAATGCAGACCACAAAGGAATGCAAAGCCTTGAGAATACACATAAAGTGACTTGGAAAAGCGCCGGACCAAATCCAGAAAAACGCCGGAGTTGGAAGTCCGGCGCCGGACCCTGTAAAAGTACCGGACTGAAGATCTAGGTATGGAAATGGACATGAAGCAGTGTTCCTGGGCTGTAGCTCTGCAACTGCTTCAAGTTCTTAATAGATCACTTCAAGAACATGGAACAAAAGCACCCTGAAAACGCGGTTTTCCTCGGGTTTTTTCAGGACTCAAGTTGAGCCATCAAGGTTTCCAAGGTTCCGGAGGCTTTCGCGAAGCGAGCGTGAGGCGGCTTCTCGCCCTGCCTGGAGTGCCGGAAAGGAGACCAGAGCTGCAGGGATCAGGGCCACCAGCAGGTTGTGCACGGACAAGATCAGGCCGTAGTAGTATCCTCACTGACTCACGATCTCTCGCTCACGTGTTCTGCGCGTGCAACGCGGGCAGCGACGGGTCGTGGTAGAATCTCCCAACAAGTATAGGCAAAAAACTGCCAGGACCATGATGGGTGTGTGTAATGGGGAGATCACCCCCCACCAATGGGGTGTTGGTCTATGTTCTTTCTTGCCAGGGAGTCTTGGGAAGGTCTATTTTAATACACACCCAGATCTGGCCCCAAGAATCAAGGCTCCTCAGCCGGTGAAGGCTTGGTTCGGCTCCAAACCCTTGCGAAAAGCAGAGTCCAAAACTCCAGAAGTGGTGTCCAATGATGGAGTCTGGATGGACATTCCGCCCAACTGGACCTGGAATGAGTTCAACGACATCATGTCTCCTCTTCCGCCCCTTTTCCAAAACGAATGCCAACCGTCTAAAAAAACCGTCCACCGGAGCTTCTTTCAGGCCGAAAGCGTGCAAAGAGGAAGCGGTACCTCGCCAACGGATCGGTTGAGCCGGTGTTGACTGGGATCGGTTGAGGGGTGTTGATCGGTGGCTGAGGGGGCAAGCTGGTTGACAGGGGGAAGCTGGTTGATGCGGTACCCGCCCCCGATGCGGAAATGTATGGCCTATGATGTGGACCAATTTTTTTCTACTACGGCTGGGGAGGAAGATACTTATTTGGGTCTTGGATTCTTTAGACACGTCGATTCACGAATCCCATTCTACAACATCTCGCTCTCGGCCGTCTTTTGAACCCAAAACGTGCCACAGACCCAAAACGTGCCACAGAGACGGGGGCCAACCGCCTCAAAAGAAAGAGTGTCCTGGTGAGGCGTTGAGGCCTTGAAACGGATCACCTTGTGGAGAATCTTCCGAAAAGGCTTGGCTGCCAATCTATTCCCATCCGAAGGTTCCATCAACTGACAAAACAGACCTCAGAGACAAGATTGAACGTTGTCCACCATCCGCATGTTCCCAACTTTATTTTGGTGAATTGCCGTATCCCCCCCGCAAGCTAACATAGAACCTAGCTGAGAACTGACCCGTGGTCTTGACCATTTTCCCCATACCAACCCAGTGGTTTTGGGGTCCTGCAGGGGAGCAGCTCTCATGCTCTATCCAGTTCTACCTATATACTTGTTTTTGCCATGACTGTCTGACTATCCAAGCTCAACAGCACTTTTCACATGAACCTCCCGAAACCTTCACACACAAGACCACACTTCCCAGCAGCGTCAGCAGTTCCTCCACAAGGCTTTTTCTGCGTCGACTTCGATCCCGAAGTCGAAGCCCGTCTTTGGTTCATCCAAGGAGCCGTTCCATGACCTCCAAGCCATGTCCGGAGCGTAACCAAATGGGATACTTCCTGCCGACAACGGCAACGACACCAACGATGGCATGCCGGTGTGATGGGTCTGAGGAGAGCAGGTGATCTTCTGCGTCTGTCTGCGGTCCTGTCCTTTTTTTCGTGTGTCTGTCTGCCCCACCCAAGAAGAGGTAATTTCTGGAGCAGGGATAAATAGAGCTGGTGGGAGAAGTCTACTTGGTAGCCTGACTTTTGGCTATCAGTACTATAGTCTATCCTGGCCGAAATCAGAATAAAACAACTGCCTCACTCAGAGCAAACCAGCCCCATTCGGCGCTCGGCCTTCCCTCACTTAGCCTCATCTGGATACTAAATATAAATAGGTCAAAGCCAAACGTGTGTTTTGATGATCCTTTCGCATCCTGCACGGAGGATCCATGTATCACCATGCATCACCATGCTGTCAACACGTTTAAACCATGAAAGAAACAAGGAGTTCCCAATCAAAAGGGTACACCGAGGCTTGGACCGAGGCTTGGACGAGTCTTGCAAAACGACCGCCGTCACGGCTTCACGGATCCGGCATCCTGGTGAGGTAGATAATCACCCCCAGGATCGTCACCGGATATGCCAGGATCCCTATGGCTGCCAAGGCCACCAGTGCCTGGACTCCACGGCGGCGTCCCTTTCGCGAACAAACCCGAAAGCCGCAGCTTCGCCCAGAAGTCGAGTAGGGGATGACATGGAGATAACGATGACATGTTTTCTTGGGATGAAGAGGATGGAGGATTGGGCTTCAGCAGTACGGTCTCTTCAAATGTTCATATCGTGATGCTTTCTCCAATTACACACCAAAGGAACATAAGGACTTCAGTTGAACAAAGGATGAGATGTAAAGTAAGCTTGGTGCGGCATATAGTCAATCCTGGGATGTTCTCAAACTTGGGTCTTTAGGCCAAGGCTCTACACTTCGAAAACCAGTACGATGAACACAGATCTTTTCAGAGAGCAACGAACTCTTCTTTCACAGTCGCTGTACCCTCCCGTGGAGACCTATAGATACAACATGTTCCTCAGAATGATTCCCATGTTGCTCTTTAGAGGGCATTTGACTTACGCAAAATGACAGACAGTTTTTAGGTAGAGTTTGGTGCTGGGCAATGCTTGTGTTCCTCCAACTCTTCTTGTGCCCTTTCTGACTCATGCCACTTGTAGAAGGCTCAAGTCGTCGCTTCTTTGGGGGCTATCCACACCCGCAAGTGATCCAGTACGGCTATCGACACTGACTGACGTTTCAGCTCAGTAGAATTCCGCCCGTTTCCACCGCCCTGTCACGCTTCCACCGCCCTGTCCCGTCTGCCTGATGTTCCTCACTCTGCCAACAAATCACATGAGGCCGGGAAGTGATGGTGAAGAGCCTAGCTCGATCCGATCCGAGCACGCGACGGCACGCCCCGAGCGCCGCGCATCCGATCCGAGCAGCTGCAGGGGAACGGTGGAGATGTCGAGGTTTCAGCAGGTGTCCAAGGTCAATTTACTTGCAGATTAGCTGTCGATGTTGTATTTGGGAGTCACTAGATCCTTCTGTCGATGTAGCGGATTGAAAGTATATATATGGCACAATCCCACCAAAAACTGTATTTTTGTATGGACACCCATTTGTCGAATACGGCATCTTATCTTGGGGTGCTAGCACCATGGTTTACCTTTGAAACCACAGTTCATCGATGTTCAGCGCGGTCCACCAGCCGGTCCGGTGCAAAAGTTTCCCTATCAACAGAACTCAGGGACTACCTGTACACCAATCCCGTGTCCAATCCTCTAATCAAATCAGTCTTCGGTGGGTTGAGTGAGTGGTTTTAGGCAAACTTCCAAACCGATAGGGGCCACCTAATGGCCATGATTGGAGTATTTGTCTATACGATACATGACCGTTGAAACATCTTAAAACCTCCGTAATGCAGGCCAATATTCCATACATGGATATTTTGGGATACCTCTTGAAAATGTTGCAATGCCAATAGATCCATCCCCAACACTGTTCCCTGACAATGGCCCCTACTACTTACTACCACTCTGACCAAGCCGCGCGTTGGGGTTCCGCTGGCATTGCAGCGGCCGTGTAATGGCCAAGGACATGGCCGTGAGCATTGCCACCAACAAGAGCCCGTGCACCTCAGCGTGTGCGTCAGCGCGCTTGCGCATTCGCAAACGCTCACGGCAAAGACCGGCTAGAAAGCACAGGTGGATATCAGCCCAAAACCATCCATGGAAAGGTTGATATATTCCAGTAATATCCAATGATATATTCCATGGTGCATGTATATTCCACCATGTAGTCCGTTCCCATGGATAATCTGGGAGTGGTGTTTTTGGAATGCACCAAGTAGGCGACCGCATCAAGCTTCGCAACTCGAGTTGTACCTTAGTGTCTAAATACCATGTAGATCAAAAGAAGAGCGTACACACTTGAAGCTCTTTCACTTTTAGAAGGAGCGTCCATGATCAAAGAAGAGAACAGTCAGGTTAACCCTTTGAACAGTGACAAAATTATATCAGCATAGACTCCAAACAGCCAGTGGGCCCCTGCCGCAGAAAACTACGCAAACAGAACAGCAGCGGGACAACAGAAAGACCACAGGAGGACAGAAGGAGGACAACACAGGACAAAGGATGAGGGAAGGAAAGCACGAGGCTTGAGCCAAAATGGCTACGGAAGAACTATGGACCGCCAAGGTATGCGTCAGGTATGCGTAAACATTTGCCAAGTTTGCAACTGTGTCTCTTTTCGGGTCTGATGTGTTATGATTTATGTTATGTTTATAGGCAAACAGCCTTATGAGACACCTTTACTCACTTGAGCCATAAGTCTGAGGTAGGTTGAATATAGACAGTAGCGTACAATGTAGTGCACAAAAATACACCCCCGCGGAGCGGAGTGGCTTGGCCACGGCGCGCCGAAGAGGAAGACGCACCACATTGTACCAACCTCAGGCAGCGATAAGAATCTAGCCGCTCTACAACCCTCAACCGAATGCATGCGAAAGGCAAATGGATGTCCGTAATGCTTGTGCTTCAAGAGTGCCAGCACGTGAGGATCGGACAAAACGCACAAATCTGTTTCACGTCTTCGCTTGAAATGCCGCCACTTCAAGTTGTCATAATGCAACGAAGCTTTCAAAGAAAGAAGGATGAATGCGGCAATGCCTGCCGGCACGCTCTCATATCGGGAACTCGTACCATGGCATTCCAGTGAAAAGGAGCCAAACTATAGCCAGCCACAGACATCGAATAAAAATGCAAATGCCACACTGGGGAGATATACGGCAGAGCGTTCCCGCTCGTACAAGCAAACCATCTGGAAGTCAAGCCAACGAATCCAACGAATTGATTCACGGCGTGCCCTCCAGTCCGCTTGGCAAGTGGGCAACTCCCTGCGATGATCTTTCTCTCCTCTCGGCACTCGGAGCTGCTCAACTACAGGTTCCACCAGCCATAGTAGTCTCCCTGAACTGGTCGCCGTGAGCGCACGTCCGCTCAGCACGCGGCCCACCAATTCGAGCTGGAAGAGGATGACGAAGGCTCCTCCCGCCAGGATCCGGAGCGATTCTGCTCAGGTCGATGCCACCACGATCCCGATGAAGAGCTCTGCCACGATCGGTCAGACCATCCTTGGCTCCAGTTTCCCTGCCATAGACTCTGGCTCTGGTATTGGCCCTTTCCCTTGCCCTTGCCTTTATCTGTGGCAAGTGGGCAGTCTCGGGCACGATGATCTGGCGAGCCGCACTCAAAACAGAGCTTGGCATCTTTTCCGCTTCGTTTGGATCTGGGGTCTGAATGCTCACACTCCTCCTCCGTTGGTGTACCCACACAAAAAAAGCACACTGACACTAGACTATATATTATATAATACTCTCTATCTATATATATAGAGAGAGAGACTGTACTGTTGATGAAATACATGCTGCAACTCCTGAGAATATGTTGGTCCTTGGAGAATCCAACTAGTGCAAGATATTGAAATCAACAGAACCAATCTCTGTCTGTGCTCGTGGCTGCTCGTGCTCTCATCTGTTGAGACCAACCCAAGATTCCCAAAATAATGAGTTCCTGTTAATGACCAGTCACTCTGAACTTCTATATAATTAAGTCTCCTATTATGTCATGTGTATATAATAATATATGTGTGTGTGTCTGTGTTCCAATCTCAGCAGCTCTCCACTTAAATTCCTCGCAGTGACGTTGACCAAGGTGTTGAAGCTCACTCTCCTGCGAATGCTTCGTCGCCCGTGAAAGCTGGATGTGTCTAGGTCCGGGTGTCCACGTACATATGGGTTCTGCAGCACAAGTGCTTCCCCCAAACCCAAAGAATTCTGAGGTCATGTGCTACAATTACAAATGGGCTCATGACCTCAGAGGAAAGGTTACCTTTTCTTCATTTTTGGCTCTTCATGGGCTTGTTTCTCGCAGTCAGTATGCACAAAAGGATGTTGTCTTTCAACCACAACTGGGCATGCATTTACTCTCAGATGGGTCATTCTGCAAAACGCTTCTCAAGAAGCAGCCGCTTCTCGAAGTGCTGCCTAGGCAAAGCTTCTGAGAAAGCATATGGATTTGTTCTTCCATAGGGAGACCCCCTTGACAAAATGGATCGATGTTCCTTCTTCCAGGGGGTCGAATTGGGAGGTTTCCCTATGTTTCTACAGACCCATCATATGGTTCCCACTGTCAGGATCTTGGAACATCGTTTCCTCTCCGCGTGAAACGAGATCGACGAGAACTGCTTTTCGAAGAACGTGCGGACACAGTCGGACGCCAGTCGTCCGACTTGATGCAGTCGGCATTAGACCAATGCGGCTCTGCTGGGAATTGGTGTATCAACAGTCTGCTCTTCAATCACAGTTGCCTTACCTCACCGGAGGCTATCTTGAAAGCACGAGTTCCATGCAGGTATACACTCAAAGTGGCTTGTGTCAACTCGACACCTTGCAGCCAGGCCCTGCTCCAGTGGAAAGGCTGGAAGGCTTGGTTTAGGAGCCCAGATCCCCGCCCAATCATGGAGGGAAGTACACGGACACCTGCAGGTCAAAGACCTCATTATACATCCTTTTGCTGCAGTTTTTGTCGGACAAAAGCACTACAATCTGTCAGGTCAAGGACCAGGTTCCTGCCGGGTCTCACTGGACCTGTGACAGGATGTGCCAAACCTCGTCTCAACACACGGGCCACCTCGCCTGCCCCGACAGTGGAGCACCCACCAAATGAGGAACGTCACTAAAACGACCGTGGGATATGTCACCAGCTGCACCACGTATTGCAACCTCGCGGCTAAGGAGGCGGCTTGTTCTATGCGATCTTGAAGGATCGAAAGGAAGGATCCAACGTTTGAACCAGTTTGATAGTCCGGACAAACATTCTTCATGACACAAAGGGGGGCAAATGGCCTCCACCAGGCCGTGTTGACTGGACTTTTTGTTGCACCCACTCCGCTGTCATGGAAAAAACAGAGAGACCGGCGAAGGGGTCGTGCAGGACATTGAGCCGAACTGGGCACTGAACTTGGATGAGACAATGACGTTTCAGCCCAAACACTGCATGAGACTGCCATCTTTGGCCGACCAGTTGGGGTGGAGTTGGGGGGTGGGGGCAGCACAGAATGGCAGTCCGAAATCTGCTGGACACTAGTCCGTTGGATAAATATTGATATACCCAATCTGCTGGACACTAGTCCGTTGGATAAATATTGATATACCCAATCTGCTGGACACTAGTCCGTTGGATAAATAATGATATACCCAATCTGCTGGACACTAGTCCGTTGGATAAATATGGATATACCCAATCTGCTGGACACTAGTCCGTTGGATAAATATGGATATACCCAATCTGCTGGACACTAGTCCGTTGGATAAATATTGATATACCCAATCTGCTGGACACTAGTCCGTTGGATAAATATGGATATACCCAATCTGCTGGACACTAGTCCGTTGGATAAATATGGATATACCCAATCTGCTGGACACTAGTCCGTTGGATAAATATGGATATACCCAATCTGCTGGTCACTAGTCCGTTGGATAAATATGGATATACCCAATCTGCTGGACACTAGTCCGTTGGATAAATATGGGTATACCCAATCTGCTGGACACTAGTCCGTTGGATAAATATGGATATACCCAATCTGCTGGACACTAGTCCGTTGGATAAATATGGATATACCCCATTGTGCCATGATCCATCCCTGATGATCTTCCCTGTCGAAGTTGATGTCCTGGGTGGTCCGGTCACGGACTCCGGTCCAGTCGTGAGGTCACTGTCTTCCACCCGGGATCCGTCTCCGCCGGGATCGGACCGAGGAGATCGCCGCATGGACCGTTTCGGTCGACGTCGTTTCTGGACGTCGGTGATGAAACTGGAGGGCGCCCTCTTCAGTGACCTGCATCAAGTTGAGAAGTGACCCATTTCTTTGTTCCCAGGTGTTGCAGATCAGTTTGGCTGGACCATAGCTGATCCATTTGGGGCATAGCTACGATACAGCTACTCTTGCAGAAATGTTTGCGTAGTTTGCTTGCGTTTCATTTGAGGGCATCTGGTGATTGTGTGTCTGTTTTTTTTTCCGGAGAAGCTCAGCCACTCGGTGTAAGGTCTTCACCCACAAAAAAATATTGAAGTCAACTGGCCACTTGGCAGTAGGCAGTCTTGTTGACTTCTATGAAGTTTGCCACACGCATGATGAATCCTCTCCAATCCTCTCTTCTGCTTGTCCCAAGCAACAAATAATCTTGGGGTGGAAGCAGGCACGACAAGTCCAAATCCAGGTTGAAGATAGCCAAAGAGTTCAAGATCGCCTGTCGGAGCGAGTCTCAAGCTCTGGGAACGATGCGAGAGGCGAACGTCTCGGTGTCTTTCGTGGCGAAGGGCGATTCAGTGGTTCGATGGCACATCGAACCCACGACGTTGACAGACGGGGGTCCATAATTGCACCACCTGAACCGAAGCATTCCGCCCTTCTGAACCGATGCCTCGAGATGTTGAGCCGATTCTCGGTCATGCAAGTGATGTGTGTCAAGAGTTTCGACCCCTCTTCAACCAAAGGAGCATGAGTTCCACGTACTTCACTTAGTAACGAACTAGTTCTCCAGTGCTTTGATGTCTTAGTATGGAGAAATGGGTATTGCAATACGGAGGCCACCCAGGCAACGGCCCCCTGGACGGTTCGGGATTCAAAATCCTTCCTGTTGAGCCAACGGATCATCGGACGTTGAGCCTTGGCAGGATCGATCCAAGTGATGTCCAGCTGATAAATCGCATCCAAGGACTCGCAGCGAGCGCCAAAAAGACCGGCGGAGCAAACAGGGTTTCTTCCTTTCCTGTGTTTCAGGACGTTTCCCAGGGTTCTACATGTCAAAGACATGATGACTCACTGATGACTCACGGAGTCAAACAGACCGGTCAATCACACATGTTCCCTTCATGGAGCCCTTGATGCATCTGAATGGCAATGATTCCAGGCATATTATTGTACATGGATCGTGTTTGATTCGGTTTTTACTGCTCGAAAACAGCATACAACATCCTACCTGGAGCATTCAAGGGTCACCATTCTAGGACTAGATTGCTTGTGGATCTCCATTGGCCTCGGCCCTTGAGTATTTGAGATGCTCATGCCACTGGTGATGGGTCAACAACTCAGAAAGTTCTCACCATGTTCAGCTCCAAATGGGCGAGCGTCTGGAAGGATAAACCTATTTGAACATAATTGAACTCAATAGTTAGGAATCTAAATGTTGGAAGAATCTCAATCTCAATATTATTTGAATGTATTTGAACTCACATATTTGAACTAAATCTGGAAGGATCTACTTGGTGTTTTCAGCCAAACCGAACACAACATACTAGTAGGTTCAATTTCATCTCAACAGTAAAGACATGTAAAGACTAGTAAAGAGTGAGAATCAAGATCTCTGACACCACCACCCAAACATTCAAGAAAAAAGAAGCCCTTAGTCGAACTACCCGATTCTTTATAGGATGAACAACGATACTCCTACGGTCCTAGGCAGCTGATCTCCCGGACCGATGCGTTCCCTCAGACCAGGTCCCTCCTTCACCACGTCAGACCCGGTCCCTCAGACCGAGCGCCTGCAAACACACGACGATCTGCCCAAAGATAATGCTCACCTCGCATGGACGAGGCTTCCCCACGTCTCTGTAGCCGCTGGATTGGAGCGAGTGTGCGAGGGCTGGGGGGGGGGGGGGGGGGGGGTTCGGGCTGAGCGGGCTCAACGGGCTCAATGCTTTGGGGGTCCTCCAAACCTGGAGGTGTTCTAAAAACCACCCTGTCACCGGTCTCCAAGTGTCCTTGCTCAAACTGTCGCAACCTGTCGGGGAATTCACGAATTCTTGCTAGCAGCAGCGCTACGCTGCACGGCGCGTTTTGGGGCATGTCTTCGCCTCGCCGCACAGAACAGAACGGAAGGGGATCGTCCCGCTGAAGCGCCGAGTCACCATGAAGATACTCAAGGCGGTCCGCTTCAGCCGTGTCATAAAGATGCCGAAGACCACCACCAGCGGAATCACGCCAAAGGTGACCAAGACCACCAACCTTGGCTGAACCCGGAGGTTCACCCTTTAGTGGTGCATGTAAGAAATCTTGCCTGTCCAACCTTGGCTGTCCTTTAGTACCCTTTAGTCCTTGAAATTGAGATAAGTCCGATCGAACTCATCAAAAGGACGTACACGAGTGACTCTCTGGTCGAGTACGCCGTACTCGTACGCACAGTCAAGCAACATGATGCCCCAATAGGCCTGGCCACCGCACTTCCTCGTCGCGAGAGGACCGATGGTTGGGGTGCGCGTTTGGGTCAAAAAAGGTCTCCACAGGAACAAATCCTTAAGAAAAAACACAGGGGACAATACAGGGACAATGAGCTGATTCTCAGTGGAGGACTTTCCAAAGACTCAGAATCAGCTGCTCGATGCGCCGAAGCCAGACTTGTCACCATTCCCATCACAAGATTCAGATATATTCAGATGATCTATGTGGTGATCCTCGCTTTGGCATGATCAACGCTTCCGATATTTATATGTGAAGAACACATCACACGTCTGTCACGCATTTTTGGGGAGCTCCTGGCACCTCCTCCTTAAAAACCACCTTGCGCCTTAGGACAGCGGAACCAAGCTGACCAATCCTGCCGTCCTCTCCGCCTGCGCTCCTGGCACCCCGTCCACTTCCGAGCATCGAGCAAGTTCCATCCTCCTTCGGAGCCAAGCCTTCGGCGCCTTAGGACGGTGGTTCGGTGCTTCCAAGGCTGAAGCGACTGCCTGGTGATATAATGCACCCTATAGGGCGTCAGTCGCACCTTCTAAGATGGTGGGACTGGGGTGAGTGCCAGGAGGGTCCAGTCATACCGAACCTGAGGTACGACTGGAGCCTAGGGTGACAAAAAACAGCAACATCCTCAGATCCAGGGTATGCATCACAAAACTGGGCGGGTTGTGTCATCCTACTGTGAAGCAGACTGGACCCTCATCTGCCTGGAATCTCCAAATCCCACGGATGTAGGGCAGGACGTGTGCACCTTCTCCGCTGCCAATCACATCACAACAAAGAAAGAACCAACTCCATCACCAACTCCTAATATCTCCTAATTATAGATCCCCAGCTATCACCAACAGCTCCAAACGTTCAATGCCCACCACTTCTTTCATCCGACCTCTTTCCTAGATCTCTTCAATCTCAGCATCTCTCAGCTCACGCCTTAGTGGTCCGACCCGACCACAACCGACCCACTTGGCCGAAGGCACAGCTTCCGCAAGCGCGGCCCACCCGTCCCGGCGCGCAGGTGCCGATGGCTCCGCCCGGGCATTGCAGCTGGTCGCGGCACTCGAAGACCGAGAAGTCGCTGCCTCCGAAACGGACCGAGGAGAGCTGGGATGAGCTGGGCATCAATCAGAGGTGCTTGGCGGCAAGAGAAGGATCTTGGAGAGCGGCTATATCACTGGGTCGGTGTCATTTTTGAATTGGAAAACCCGGGTGGAAACGCTCGTGTTGGTGTGAGGTTGCTCACATTCGGGCATTATCATGTTTGAACCAGATTATAGTGTAAACTCTCACACACATGGTGGAAGAGAGTATTTGGGACATGAGGAAACCGGAATGAACATTTCAGTCAGCTGATCCTGAAAGAAGAAGGACTTCTGGCATTCTTCATGGCATCATCATCATCATCATCATCATCATCATCGGCGAATGCTTGAAAACGCGGCCCGCAGAAAAAAACAAATAGCGCCGTGGCATCCGTCTCCCCGCCCGCAACATGTGTCATACACTTCGCATGGGGTTCATCATCAAAAATCTGTCCAATGCACGTTGGGTCTGTCGAACTCAAGATTTGAGACGTCGATGATCGCACGACACACGCGGACTTTGGGAAGGAAAGTCCTTCGCTTTTCTCTCTTCCAATTGGATCGGGATTGATGAATAGATCTGGATGATTTCATGGCCAGCATCCTCCGAACAGGTCACCAAGCTGCAGACCTATTTTGGCCCTTCCCAACCCTCCATGCTGGAGACCTGTGAAGTCGGTTGGAGGACGCTAGTAGTTCATCATTGATTTACATCGATGATCATCGATCTCATGGGTTCCGAAGTTCCGGCATCGGATCGTCCGACATCGATCGAGCCGTCACGCGGTGAATGGTTTGGAGACCGTTGGACCCCATGGACAACCCAGGCCGCTGGGCCGGGCCGCCATGGTATAGGGATGCCCCGTGTCACGAACACCTGAGAGAAACCCTTGCGCAGGATTCACAGGATTGTCTTTGGATCCAGAACATCAGTTGCAAAAAGCTGCATTCCTGATCATTCTTCAGCCTCCCTGGAGCCCTCCCCCCAAACAAGAACTCAAAAGAACATCCTCATCCCCCGTTCTTCGCGTCCTCTCGTCCGCCGTCCGCCGTCGTCGTCTTCGCCTGTGTCCTCCGCCCAATAGCCCGGCAGTTGCCCCACGAAGGCGCCCTGGCACACGAGGCCCCGGATGCAGGACGAGCACGTGGCGTTCCAGGTCTCCTGAGACCGGCGGAGACCCGGCGGACGAAGGGGCGGAGGAGACCAGGGAGGTCGGACGAGGAGTCCATGCGGCGGAGGGTGGGATCATCTCCGCTGGTGAAGCGGAAGCGGATGGGGAAGAATGGTCCTGTAGGATGAAGAGACCTTGAAATCATGAACTTCGCGAAAACCATGCATGATTGTTCCAGGGAGTGTTTCTATGGCAACGCTTCGCTATAGCACTTTGGCGTAAGGATCTGATAAGAACTGATTATTGCCAGTGAACAACATGGTGTTTCTGGTTGTTTAACTTTCAAGGTGGTGATTGTAGCTCTGGTTAAGATTTGCAGTGTTCTGCATCTTTTGATTGCTGACCGGAACTTGTGTGGATGACCGGAAGTTGCATTGAACAATGATATTGCAAGTTGAACACCACCTGCAAAAAGCAAGTTGGGAAAAACTAACCCTGCCCAAAGCTTGAACAACAAAGGATTGTCAGATTCATGGTATTTCGCAGAGATTCAACAGAACCCCCTTCATGTTGACTTGCTTCTTTGCTTGCCTGGCCCATCTAACCCGCTGAGGTGAGGTGAGTTCACTGCCTCATCTCTGACATATCTCTTTTTTCAGTCCCACAAGGTGCTTGTCCCAGCTTGAACGAGCGAAAACAAGCAATGAAAAAAGAAAAAGAACACGTGCTGGGCAAAAAATGATGTAACATAAAAGCAAAAAAAATGAGGCCAACCCGAATCCAAGGAGCTCCCCGCGTCACACATCCCTCTGAAACCCCAACAACCCAATCGCCACCATCCAACCCCAGCGCCCGCCTCGGTCGAGCGGTACAAGTAAGTCTCCTCCTCGCGGTCGAGCGGGCCAAGCGAGTCTCTCTTGCGATTGCTTGAAGGACATGCCGGGCCAAACGAGTCCCAACAAAAGAAACCTGTTTTGTGGCAAAAGGAGGAATGACCATTGCTGATTGTTGGATCCAACAATTTTGATTATGTGTTTTCAGAAAGAAACTAAGCTAGTGAGGGCCTTGTGCATCCATTGGGATGCCCTGCCAGAGTTCACCTGATAGTTTTGTCTGAGATTTGGAGCTGATGATTTGTCCAACCCTGAACCTCCTGGCCTACCTACTACATCCTGCGACCCACCTGCAGTTCGGTTGTTGGGATGGTACCTTCTCAACTCTGTCTCCCCGTACCTTCTCAGGAGGTACGACCACCAAAGCAAACTCCCCACATCACAAGATCTGGTGCTTGACCCTGGGAGCTCAGTCAGTCGACGATGTTGAACATGGTCCTTTTGATGGTTTCTTCTATCCCGGTTGTGCCTCAGTCGACTTGCCGGCCAAGCCTTCGGTAGTTTTGATGGACATATCGTCGAATTGGACTTTGTTCGGGTCGACAGGTTTCGATGCGTTCCGATGTTTTCGAGTGGAGGGTGGGGAGTACGGCACGAGGACGAGCCCGATGTGTACCGTACGGCTGAGGGGCACGTAGTACTGGCAGTACCTGCCGGGGAGAAAGTGGGACACTGCACATCTTCTGATCTGCTGTCCAGCACTAACCCCAAAAGATCCTAAAAGCACACATTAAATGTATTATACATCTGATTCCCTCCAAAGAAGAATCCTCAAACAAGGTACGTAAACGCTCATAAAATCTCATAAATCAAAATCATCACCAGCCAAAACTAAGGCCCTTTCACCTGGGACCCAACACCGCCCCTGCCGCCCTCTGCCGCAGTCTGCCGCTCCTTGCAAAGGCACTCGGTGACGTTCTTGGCCCCGGCCAAGGTGGTGCGCCCCTCTGCGCAGGGTTCGCAACTGCGGGCACCCTGACGATCTTGGTACTGGCCTGCGAGACCGCGCGCGGAGGTGCGCGAGCGGAGTGTGTTTTTCTTTTTTCGGAGACGTAGCCATGTTGACCCGCTGAAGGAGTGAATTCTCAAACGCTGTTGACCTTGAAGGGGGGCAGTGATGAATCCATGAATTTGCAGCATACCCAGCACCACCCAGGTCGGGTGGTTTATAGACCCCCGCCTGAAGAGGTATTTGTCCATCCAACAAACCACCCGTCTCGTACTTTGCCTCAACAGGTCATGCCAGGAGCTACATTCGTAGCGATGCACCTTGCTATCAGTAGCTATTTGACTATTTGCTACTAGTAGCCTTCCCCTTCACCCGGAAGGATGTCTTATAGAGAGCTTTCTAGTAGCTTCGAATAATAGCGATGGCCTTCAACCTAGTAGCTCAGGAGCTGCTAGTAGCTTCACCCGCGAATTCTTGGACCTTGCGGGCACTTCTCACAGCTGGTCATCTGGCTGCCCGCTGCAAAGCTCCCGGCCGAGCACGGCTCGCCTGAGTTCGGCGCCGCGTCGACGGTCACGTGCTGAGAAAGATCCACAGATATGCATCTACCAGGACCCTCTAAGGGGTGCCCTGTCTGGAAGCCATCCTGTCGGTAGCGTGGGGTAGTCCAGCCAGGACACCCCGACTGGAGGGTCCTGGTATATGCCTTTGTTAAGTGAATCCTGGAGAAAGACTGCACTACCTGATATATAATATATAGACCTATAGAACCTGAGTGACACCGCATTTTTGGAGACAATATGTTTTCCGACGTTGTCTTTTTCCTATCAAAATAAAGGTCAAGTGTGTTCTAGGCATGTCATATGGGGAATCATAAGTGTATGGTGAGTGTTTCGGTGATTCTGTTCATCGCGAGTATATTCGAGTATGATTAGGATGCTCTCCTAGTCGTTGTCTGAGGTTTTCTGTCTCCCAGCATATTCCAGCTGCTTTTAGAGCCACAGCAGTGCGCCGAAAGCAGAGATAAACCATCCTGCTCCCCACAAGACTAATGCTCTACAAAGCATAAGCCGAAAGCACACTGAGAATGGTCGTGAACAGCTCGAGAGCTTCAGAAACATAGAAATGGTCCATTTCCGTTCAGCTGAGATGTTCGTGTCAAATCCAAAACACCCAACCATGGCACTCTCAGAAGGCCTCAAAATATGGCGAACAGTGCATATGTTGATCAAATTCCTCTCACCCAGACCGTCCCAACTCCTGACCCCACCCAGACCATCCAAAACACCTGACCCTCCAACTCTCCGACCGACTCGAACTACCGTGAAATGGTCTGGTCTTCTTCCAAGTCCAGTCTGACCCAGTCAAATCTGGTCAAATGACTCCTGGAGTAGTGCTGTTGCATCCCAAACACTCCATGGGACTGCCAGTCCGGACTGCCGAGAAACGGCCAGGGGTGGTGCCAGAAGGGTCTGTCTGGGGCGGCAGTCCGTCCTGGCAGTCCCATGAGTCGTGTCTGGGTATCACCAACTCCAGTATTTCATGAAGTCCAACTCACTCCAACTGACCATCCTTTTTCACCTCGAGGGCACAGTTCGCGGAGGAGTAGACCGACTGATACGATCCCGGAGGACACTGGCCTCGGCGCCCGTCCGGGGTGCTCGTGACGTACGTGGGAGGGCCGACGCGTCAGAGGTCGGGGCAAGAAGGCGCGTCGGATGGCGCTCGGAGGGCTTATGGAGGTGAAAAGCACGTGGAAATCCTGCAAAGTGAAGGCCACTTTCCAAATGCCGCTTAACAAAGAAAGAATGAATGGACCAAGCAAATCTTCCAAGCACATCGAGTCACACATCGTGATATATAGTCTTCGGGTTCATCCCAAGTTACGATCTCATTAAGCTATTTATAGCGCATATCTCTTGCGCATAAAGTCGACCAACACCAATAAATAACATCCGTTTTGGATCAATATTTATATCCCGTTGTTTTCTCCGGTCTCTGGAACAAATCCCACCAGAAGGGTTTGAGGTGGCATCATTTGTTGTTTTCCCCCCCCAAAAAAAACACAAATACTCACCAGTACATCTCATCTCCTCATCAGCTGTTGCTGGCAGAGGCCAAAGGGCAAAGGGATTTGAACACCTAAAACAAAATGCATCAACATGCACACGGAAGTTGACAAGGGATGTCAAGGGATGTCAAGGGTCATGATGGTCATGAACAACCTATCACTTTGAGCGGTTAGGGTTAGGCATTGCCTAAAATCATCCGATATCCTCAGAAGGTGGTTAGACCCCGCAAACCCACCCCAACCACCTTCTGGGGATGTGGTTGGAGCTCTGTCAACTTGACCATTTGACTGCAGCTCTCAAGCTGCAGTCCGCGAGTCCGCGAGCGTAGACTCTGAGTACGTCACGTACGCGCGAGTACGTCTGGGTGCTTCGACCATGGTCACAACATGTCACAACTGAGTGGGTTGGACCTTGCCGGACCTTGCACTGCCACCACCAAAAGAACCCTTAGAACTGCGTGGCTCCGAAGCAAAACCCTTTCCGTTCTTCGTTGCGAACCCGGGCCGAATGACTCCTTTGACAACCCCAAACCAGGTGCGAAACAATTCAGGAAAGCCCATCTGTGAACCCTTTAGAAGCAGATGTGGCCTCTGGGAAGCCCCAAAAAGAAACGGAATCGTTTCTGCTGACCGTTTTGCTTTCATGAACTTTAATGCAACACCCAGCCCAAAACGCGCCCGCGGTGTGCGCGCCGGACGCCCCACACCGAGGCGCGGCAGATGGCGGTGTCACCCCAGACATCGGTGATGGAGGAGGAATAGAAGCCAGGTGGGCAAGCCAGGCAGATGGCCTGACACGAACCGGATCTTTGGAACGGAACGCGCGAGGGCGATGTTTGGTTTGGTTTTTGGGGGAGCTCCCGAGTGAAGGGGGTTCGAGGATCATCTATCCAGAAGTCTTCGCTGTGGTTCTGGAAGAGTGGATGTCAGTTTGGGGAAAGAAGAGGTCTTAGATCTCCTTCAGTGGTGCGAAAACCATAGGTGCTCCCACCACATGCCCAGATTCAGAGTGTCCTGTTATCCACGCCTTTGCAGTTGCATGGTTCTCAAATTATTCCAAGACTCCTTCTTTGGCCACAGGTCCAAAGACCAAATAAAACCTGGTCCTTTCAACTCCAATCGAATGAGGTCCCACTGACCTCTTGGGTTCCAAACCCCGCCCTTGGAAGTGACCTTCACCTTTCCCACGCACAGTGTTCTTCACAAAAGCGCAAGCTAGACCGGGAAAAAAAACAAAGGAACTCTGTGGCGCGAGAACTTGCTGGGAACCCTGTGGTGCGCTGCAGACGTGGAGAGCGCCGAAAGCGAGCGCGCTCTCGAGCGCTCGGCTCGGTCCACGACAACAGGGAAGCAAGCAAATGGAATACTCTGGAATACTCTGGAATCAATTGGGGAATACTCTGGAATACTCTGCAAATGGATTTCGTATTCCATTCCCCAATTGATCAAAACAATCTGGTGGAAAAGGTTTCGTTTGCAATGCTGGAGCGTCCATTCTGAGTGCGCTTGGTGACAAACATGTCATACATCATTTGGAAGAGTCCATACCCTATAGAAGTCCAGTCCATACCCATCTTTCAGACTCACTGAAGGCGGAATTTCCCCAGGTCCCCCCTGGTCGATGTCAGACCATTCTTTTTGCTCAACGACTTCCGTCTGAAGACCGGTGTCTTTTAGGCCAAATCTCATCCCAAAAAGGATGCCATCTCCAGGCTGCCATGCCACAATGGTCGGTCATGGACCATGGAGTCCGGATCTGTGAAATCAGCCAAAGCCAAAAGAGCCACGAAAGGCATCTTGTCCAATCTGCATCACTGAGTCTGGGATGGTCAAACTGGTCAAAGGACTGCAGCCACGATAGGCTCCGTGTCCAATCTGAGTTACAGACTCCGGAATTGTCAACTTCGTCAAGGATCAAAGAAGGCCCGGTTTCCAATCTCAGTCACAGAGTACGGAATTGTCAAACTGGTCAAAGAACTGCAGCCACGAAAGGCTCCGTGTC